TTTTAGGAAAGGATCTAGAAGGTGTTCAGGGTCTCACTACTAGATTGGACTCATAGTGATCCGCCTGTTTACAGCCTCCCAAGAGCTGGGAGTACAGGCACACACCACCCCACCCAGTGTCAATTGCAGTTTCAGCATGGCCTGGGGGCGGGGCCAGTCCAGGGATCAAGCCCCTGGCCCCTGCGCCTGCTTGCAGGTGCTTTAATCCACTGAGCTGTTTGGCTGGCCCTTCTACCACTCTTGATACAACTGTGAACCCAGAATTCTAGTGTATCTATCAGAATCAGAGTTCAAGGTTTATTTCAGCAAAATGTATATCATGCCCTTATGTTTCTAGGTCTAAAAGGCAACACTTTCTCCGTGAGAATTGTTGCTAACATTCATTCATTCATTCATAACCATTTGAAAATGGTTAACTATAACCATATTCATTCATTCATCCATCCATCCATCCGTCTATCCATTCATAACCATTTGAAAAGCTGTTCATTCCATAGCGCTATCCTTGATTCTGAGAGAAACTCGTGAAAGTTAAAGCACAGAGCTAGCCTCAAGGAGTTTGTTCCCATAGAAGAGAATGCATGAAGCAATAAATAACGAGTTAAATAAGGCAAGACAATAGCACAGGCAGTGGCATCAGATGTTGTCAAAGGGCAGAGCGCTAAGAAAATGTCACTGAGCACATGTGATTTAATTCCAGAGAGTCAGAGAACTGCAACCAGCTTATTGTATGCAGGGCTGTGTGAGTTCCAGCCTGGCTAGAGTAGAAAGTTCGGGCATGTAGAATGAATGGAAAATACGGTGGGAGGGGGCCAGGCTAGAGTAAGGAGGTCCTTTCTTATTGCTCAACACTGCATAAGTTTAAAACTTGAAATTTCCTTTGGTTTGGTCACTTGGTCAGTCCCCGCAGCACTATCCAAAATGCCAGAGTTCGGAGGGCTTAAACAGTCATCTCTCACAGGCCTGGAAGCAGGAAGTCTGAGATCACACTGCAGACAGTTTCTTGGTGAGGGTTTCCTTGGTCACAAAGGTCCTGTCTGTATACTCACAGGAAAAAGAGATCATGTCCATCCTGCACTCTTTTATTTTATTTTTATTTATTTATTCATTTATTTATTTTTTGGCAGAACCTGGGATTGAACTCAGGCCCTTGTGCTTACCAGGAAAGCACTTACTCCACTGAGTCATCTCCCCAGTCCCTCTCCCTTTTAATATGGTCATTTACTCTCCCACATGAGGAATGTTCCACAGTCATCAACTGATGATCTCTTTTTTTATTTTAAAAAATCATATATTTATTTGGCATAGGGTATCCCTACGCAACTTGGACTCCTAGTGATCCTCCTGTCTCAGTCTCCTCAGCGCTGGGATTACAGGCGTGCATCAGCTGGCTCAGAGCACCCAGCACAGCATGTGGTACCAGGGATCAAAACCGGGTCCTTGCGCTTGCCAGGCAGGCGCTTAAACCACCAAGCTATCTCCCCAGTCCCCTGATTACCTCTTAATACCATCATATGGAAGGTTAGGGTTTTTTAAAAAACATACCAATTCAAGGGGCCGCCAGCATTCAGTTCATAGCACTTGCATAACTACAAATCAAAGCCATCGGGACTGTAGATCAGGCTATTGGGTGGCATAAAGTGGCAACTTGTACAATAGCGAGGAAGCCCAGAGACAAAGACCATATGGAGATGATGGGCAGGCGGGTAGAACAGCCGCAGTCCTAGGGCCACAGTGTTTACCAGTCCCCTCCACATTGCCAGGTATCGGGGCTCCAGGCTGTCACGCAGCATCTCAGTTCAGACAAGGGCGCAATCTGTCACGCAGTCAAACCTCCACCTTACTACTTGGGGAATCATGCGTGTAGCAGAATGCGTGCAAGACCAAGAACTGCCAGCTCCAACCCAGGCTGGTGGGGCGCCTCATCCTGCCTCACCAAAGGAGGGCTCTGGCCGGCCCAGGTTGTCTCTACTCCCTTCCATCTCCTTACTTTGAGTCAGAGAGGAAACAAAAAGGCACCCCGCGAATTAAAGTCGAGGAACCTGTGGGGCCAGTGTGTCCCAGACCTGGGCAGGGAGCAGCTGAAAGGTTTGACTGGAGCTTGCCAGGGTCACGCAGCTTCTCGGCCGCCTCGGCCACTCTCTAATTACCGAGTCTGTGGTAGGTTTCGAGGAGGAGCTGTCTTGGGGCGGGAAGCTTCCCTAAGCATCGTTTTTGCCTATAAATACTTCAAATAGTTCAGTGAAACGCGCAACCTTTGAAAACTGGAAAGGAAGCTGTTGGGAGGCCCCTGGGCCTGCCTGGAAGAGCAGGCGGGGAAGAGGTCGGCGAGGCCTCCGCGCGGGAGTTGGGACCCGCCCCGCCGAGCAGCGGGGGGCCTTGGGGGTGCGGGCGCGCCTCCGGAAAGCGCGGACCGTTAAGGTGACCCGAGGAATTTGAAAAGCAAACCAACTTCTCCGAACCGTGCCCGCGGGGCCCCGAGGCGGCCGTTCTCGTTGGAAAGGGCATTTTTCAAAAGGCAGCAGCCGCGCCGCACCCTGCGGGAGGTCGGCCCGCCGGGGGGCGCGCGCCCAGCACCGCCCGCGTCCGTTCGCTTTGTACCGCGGCGCCGCGCGCCCGGGAGTTTCCGCGGCGACCCCGAGCGGAGACCACACCCCCTTTGCAGGGAGAGCCGGGGCCGCGGATTGGCTCGCTGCGCACCAATGGGCGCTCGGGGGCGGTCCCGGCTGTCAGCGCGCGCCGCAGCCACCGCGCCGGTCGCAGCCCGCTCTCTCCCGCGCCGAGCCCGCAGCCCTCGCTGCCTCGGCGGAAAGCAGCGCGGCGGTCGCTCGCGAGCACAGCCCTGCCCAGCCCGCTGCCCAGCCCAGCCCGCGGCCACGGCCTCGCTGCGCTAGAGCGCACGGAGCATGTGCAGATCCGCAGGCGCTGCGGTGCTACAAGGAGCTCCCGGGCGGCGGTGACAGACTGTCACGCCAAGACAGACCTTTCCCGGACTCTCGCCGCGCCTCTACTGCATCGCGGGTGACACTGCGGTACTCGCGACCCCCGTGGCCGACGCCTCTCGGGAGAGACGTCTCGGGCCCCGTGCGCGCTCCCTCCGTCGCTCTTGCCTGGCCTCGCCCGCTCACAACTGCAGCTGCCAGAGCGCGACGCCCGCGTCCCTGCGCCTCAGCCGGTTCCAAGCCCGCCTCCTCACTTCGGAGATGCAGTGACAAGTTGTAGTACTATGGGCATCCGAACCTCGGCTCCCCCGGAGGAAAATTACCCGAGGCAGCGCTCCCTGAACGCCCAGAGTTCCTGAGCAGGCCAGCCCGGAGAGCCAGCTGCAGCATCCGTCCAGGTGGGGCTCGTCGAGCATCCCCGCACGCCTGATCGCTCCGACCTCCCCGCCTCGGGGTTCTCTTTTTCCTCTCCCTTGGTGGGCGCCTCGCGGGCCGAGGCCCGGCGCCTGCTCTGCTGCCCGCGCTGCCGTTAGCGGTTGCCCCCGCCGCCGCTGCCAGGGACGTGCTGGGAAAGCCGAAGCCCCGGGAGAAGATGCCGGCCATCCTGGTAGCCTCCAAGATGAAGTCGGGACTGCCCAAACCCGTGCACAGTGCCGCGCCCATCCTCCACGTGCCCCCGGCCCGGGCTGGATCCCAGCCTTGCTATCTTAAGTTGGGGAGCAAGGTGGAGGTGAGCAAGACCACCTACCCCAGCCAGATACCCCTGAAGTCGCAGGGGCTGCAAGAGCAGGCCGGGGAGGTGCTCCCGCTACGAAAGAGCGGCTCGGTGGAAAACGGGTTCGATACCCAGGTAAGAGGTGCTGTGCGCGGGGCACTGCGGGGCGAATATTTTTCTGGAGGCAGGGCACGGCTAGATGGGGGAAGGGGCTTCCATGTGAGTTGGGGGGCAGCACTTGCCGCTAGGCTGGCAGGTTGGCGCTGCCGAGGAAGGTGGGCCGGCAGTGGGTGTGGCCCGGGCAAACAGACTGCCTAAAGAGACCCGGTTGCTGACTTGGCTGCAGCACTGCGTGGGGTGGGAGGGGGCGCACCTCCCCAGTGATCGCAAAAGGGCGGGTGCGGCGCTGAAAACGTCAGGTTCTGTCTGTGCAGGGCTTGGCCCCGGGAAGGCTGTGTCTATTGCCGCCACTGTGTGTGTCGCCTGCGGGCTGCGCCCAGGTTCCTCCTTGCCAAGGAATGGTTTGACACCTCATGGAGTTCAGCACCTCTGGGTCTGGCTGGAGGAGGATATGCAAGTCTGGGCGGTAGGGTGAGGTAGAGGGGGCGACAGCTGAACCTGCTCTCCTTTTGGCTTAAAGATGGCCTGCCCTACCCTATGTATAGAGGAAACGGATCCTGCAAGGTGCAGCGACTGCGGACAGCTGCAGACTCCTAGCCTCGGGCGGAGAGGGGGTGGCCGTGCAATGGCGGCCCCAGGCGAAGCCCCTCCTTCCCGGGAAGTAGAGCACCGTGTGAGCCTGGGTGGACCGGGCGCTGGGGGTGGGAGCAGGGCTGGGGTAAGAGAGCTGCCGGAGGAGAAAGGGCGACTTCTACCTTTCTCGACAGAGGCTGCGTCGTCCAGTTCTCCGGGTGACAGGCCCGGGCTAGGCCATCTCTTTTAAGGAAATCCGCAAGGGCCAATCCGGTTCTCTTGGCCTCCTGCCCTCCCTGCCTCATTGCTCCCCCTTCAGGGGGGAGGGAGCAGGGGCGCGCTGTTAATTTCTTGGCATCCTGTCAGCAGGGACTTTTGGGGACGGAGAACCTGACGGATGTGACTGTACCGGTCAGGAGAGGCGGGAAGCCAGAGTGGGAGGTGGTTTGGGGCCGGCGTGGGGTAGTGGCAAGAGACCAGCTGACCGTTTTGGCGCTCGCTTCTCTGCTGACACTGCCCCCACCTTCTCTGGAGCTTTCTCTGATCAGAGGCGAGCACTCAACACATTCCCAGCCTTTCCAATGCGGGGAACCAGGAACCGGAGTGGGAAGCTAATTGTAAGCAGACTTTTTGGAATTCAGGACCAGAGAAGACCCTTGGAGCAGATGACGCTCCACTCCAGGCTGCTAGGCTCGCCCCTCCCTGCTGCACTTGCTAAACATTTTTGGAAGCTGTCAGCTCTGAGTGATGGCGTGTGGGAGGAAGGCAAGATTTCCTTGGGTACTCCCGGCTGTCGGTGCTAGAATTGGGAGCCCTGCTCCTTTTCTGTTGCCAGTCCCAGGTTTTGTCCAGGGGGCTGTGAAGCACGATGCCACCGCAATGCCCATGAGGGTTTCCCCTTGGCCCATGGACTGGGGCTCGGGGTGGCATGTAGGGGTGGGCACAGTGAGTCGGAGTGTGACACACACCCGGAACCTGATGAGGGGGACCTAAGAGATGAGGGGGAGGACGAGATGCTGTGACTGCTCGCCACCAGGCTGCTGCTCTGCCTTTGCCAATCCAGCCCTCCATGGAGCCCTGTGGGAGGACTGGCAGAGGGCAGGCATGGGGAATGTGATTCACCACCCAGTACCCCCAAAAATGTTCTCCAGCTTCTCCCTGAGGGCCCGGTCCTGGGCTCAGAGACCATGCTTCCCTTGGCCTACCCGCTCTCCTCCTCTCTCTGGCCCTCACTGGGCCCTGAGGACTGGCCACGGCGTGGTTCAGGTGGGCTGCTGAGGGCAGAGCTGCTTCTAGCAGGCTCTCCTGGGTGTACTACTCGCCCTGTCCTTGCTGGGGCTGGGCCCTGAGGGCTCTTCTCCGTGACAGGTGACAGAGCCTTGTTCTCGAAGCCTCATTCTGACATCAAAGTGACTCTGGCAAAACACGTTTGCCTTTTGTGGCCAGCGTCCCTCCTCTCCAACTGACATGGTATTCATTCACCTTCTAGGAAAGTTCCTTGCAGTGGCTTTAGGTCCGAGTCTGACTCTTAGACGTTGATGGCAGGTAGATTTCAATAGCCAGTTGCTCAGCGTCTCTGCCTTAACTCAGGACATTTGTGGCAGGAGGCTGGGTTTGGCAATGGCCATGGCCACAGGCTTTAAGGTCTTGTAGGTATCAGAATGGCCCTGTGTCTCTTACGTTACTGGCCAGGTGACCTGCTTCATTAACTTCCCCTGGTTTCAGTGTTCTCATCTGTAAAAATGGGCACGAACAACCACAAGAATATTAATGAACATTAATTTAGCACAGTGTGAGGCAAATAAGGAACATGTCATAAAATTAGCCATTTGTATTGCTAGCCCAAGAGACAGAGAATTTTGAAGGTAGTTTTCAAAGTCTCTAAATGAGACAAGACAGGGCTTATTCTCTCAAGCCCATGAGAAGATATCAGTTATTTCAAAGGGACTTCTGAGCCTGTGGCTCCTGTCTCTTGCAATACCAGGTGCAGTAGGGGCCTGAGGGACAGAAACAACTACTTGCCAAGAGCCTGGTGCACCAAGTCTTTTGTACATGGCCTTACGCATTGTCATAGGAACCTGCAGCCCAGGTGCAACATGCCCGTTGTTGATGACAATAGCCACACAGTAGCAATAATGGCAGCTCCTGCTGCATGCCAGGAATTTTCTAAGTGCTTTACATGAAACCGCTTGTTCACACAATAATCAGCTGAGATGAGTGTGGCTGTGCCCATTTTCCCCATGAGGACATCGCAGCTGACTGGTGTAGTAGCTTCGTGAGCAGCGGAGGCAGCACTCGTGGAATCGGAGCAGTGATCTGGCTCCGGCCTCCACCCCCTTAGCCATGATGTCCTAGAGCTAGTGCAGAGCCTGCTCGATAACTGGAGGGCCCTGATGCATACAACCTCAGCGGCAGCTGCTGAGCTCAGCGGGTGAAGCGGGCAAGGCATCCAGCTTCCTCCAGGCCATCCTGAGAGGCACAGCAGGCAGTGCAGCCCAGTCAGGCCAAACCTGGGATCTAGCTGATCTTCATTATTGCCTCCCTCAGAATACTCTGTCCTGCAGATCTGCAGGACAAATAAGACAAGGCCTTGACCTTGGGGTTATCCCAGTCTGCTGGGGAGGCATCAATGTGATGTGCCCAGCAGGGAACATCACAGACAAGGCTAAGGGGTATCCTTGGAGCATAGACCCAAGGTGCTCAAAAGAAGGGAAGGACCTCCTAGAGGAGGCAAGGCTTGGAAGATGGGCAGGAGTAGCTGGTGAGGAGGGGAAGTGTGTTAGCCAGCGGGGTCCTGCCTTGGTGCCCGGAAGGAGTAGATGTCACTTCACGCAACAAGTGGTTGCTCCTGGCCTGGCATCTCTGTGCTTAGAGGCAAGGAGGAGTATGCAAAAGGCTTTGCAGTTGAAGGGCAGGATTTGCTGGCTTCCTAGAGGTTAGGGAGGCCTGGACATGCAGGCTGCTGCTGAGGATCTGGAAGAGGGTGCTCCGTTAGGACCTGGCTCCTGAGAGGCCCTTAGAGAACCATGGTGACCATCACTGGGGGCTTGGATGGTGGAGTACTGGACACAGTCATTCCAGAGGACAGGAAGGGGTTTTCACACCTGGTTTCCTAGCCAGCAGTTCTCCTTAGCTCTGGACCTCTTTCCATTCCCCCCAGGCTGCTCTCCATCTCCATCAAGTGTGAAAAGACTTCCCTTAGCCAGCAAAGAGCTGTCAGCTGCAGCCCCAGGGCCCGCCCTTCAACCCCCCTCATTGGAGGCACCCACAAACCAGCTACTGTTTCTCAGCTCCTAGCAGAGGAAACTGCTCTGTACCCACATACTTCTCCTGAACCCACCTGCTGGTACTAGGATGCCTGTGCCTTCCCTAACACCCATCACGTAGAGCATCCGCTGTGTTCTATGCAGATAAACCATGACCCTGGGCAAAGAAGTGTTGTGGAGAAGAAGCATTCAGTGATAGTTCAAAACCTCATCAGGCCAGCCTTTGGATAAGGAACACTCCTGAGGTGTGAGGGACAACTGGGCCTATTTTTAAGAAGCAGTTGCAGGGGAGAACACTATATGTGTAATCCTTTGATATTTCCTGTTTGGGGAAGCTAGTGTTCAGCTTGCAAGTTTTTCCTTTAAAAAGTAATTAAAGGTGCTTGAAATGCACCGTGAGTGTCTACGAGGGTTTTAGATGTTTAGAAAGCAAGCCCGCTGTGGCCCCTGGGAAGAGCGAGAGCCTGCGACCTGCACAGCTTTGCCCCTGTGTGTTTTGATTAGCATCCTTGCTGTACCTTCAAACCAGGCTATGGACCTGATTAGCGGATTTTTCCGCTATTGTGTTTTTTTTTTCTTTTCAGAGTTTTATTGATAAACATATAGCAATGAGTCAGTTTCAAATCAAATCGAAAGTACAGTTTCAACAAATAATACACTGCATATATTCTTCCTAGTGGCCAATTGCTGTACAAGATGCAGACTTGTG